CCCATCACCTCTGTGCTTCCTGAGATAGACTAAGTAACTAAGAAGTAACTATGAATATTGAATATGGATGAATGTAAAATTTCCTGTGAGAAACTCCCTGTACATCACTGATAAACTGATGTAAGAATAGATGAACATCTAAATGTATGAAATGAGTACTTCTGCTTTTTGTGTGAGGAAGGGTTAGGGTACATGAGCTCTGCTCTGTGTGTGAGGAAGGGTTAGGGTACAGGAGCTCTGCTCTGTGTGTGAGGAAGGGTTAGGGTACATGAGCTCTGCTCTGTGTGTGAGGAAGGGTTGGGGTATATGAGCTCTGCTCTGTGTGTGAGGAAGGGTTAGGGTACATGAGCTCTGCTCTGTGTGTGAGGAAGGCTTCACCCTCTTGGTCAAAAAAGAGCTAAAATCCCTGGACTCTCTGCTTGTCAGGGATGACCAATCTTATCCAGAAAGGCCGTTGTGTTAGGTTTGCGGTATCGCAAAAGTTATCCCAATCACCAGCATACACACTGGCCCTTTGTGGATAAGTCTCTGTGCCTGTGATCGGGGGGTTGTGGTTTCAGCCCTGCCTTGACAGAATAGTCTCATTTGTGGGGCCTTGAGCAAGGCCCTTAACCCCCAGCTCCATGGGTGCTGCTGTAGGTAAGTGCCCTTCACTGCCAAACTTGCTCTTACCTCAGTAACAAATATAGTAACTTCTTGAGATGAAAGATGTCATGATTCATTAATGATGAACAAACATGAGATCAGTATTTAACTAAGACTTAGGTTGTGATTAATTAAGTAATTGCATAATGCTACATTATTCATGGGCTCTCAAGTAAAATGTTACCAAATAAGTTTTAACCAGGGGAATGTTAATAAAATACAACCAACAGAGTATTCGTCGGTTTAGTATTTTTTCCATGCTTTTGTCATGTTTCCCAGTTGTTACAGAATACAGTGGTACCTCAGTTCTCTAACTCATTAGAACTCGAATTTCTTAAAAGTCAATCCAACCAGTTCAAAAAAAAATTACCTAGAACTCGATCTGAATCTCAAAAGTCAATCCGCAAACGCCGACCTAAGATGTAATAACTTGTACGCACGGGGAAATGAGTCACGTGGCACGTCTCTCAGCAGAAACAAAACGTAATGCTTCAGTCTCAGTATTCCATTCTCTGTGATAGCACCGTGTATGTTTACACTAGTAGAATGCATATATTTAGACAGTAAAAATAATAAACCATTAATACATTTAATTATAATAATACTGTCGTGCCCAGCGGGGACGGAGACAAAGGCGCAGACGTCAGGGTATCGGGGAATACGGAGTTTAGTTACAGGTAAGGCATGGAAAACGCAGATGGGCAATACAATGACCGGACTGGGGAAACAAACTGAAACACGGACTAAATACAGAGGACTAATGACAACAACCAGAAACAGCTGATCACACGGGGATTCCACACGGGGTTAACGAGGGGGCGTGGCACACGAAAGGAGCGGACGATCGGGGCAAGACACATTGTTTGGATACATTTATTTTCTTACTTAAAAATTACTGTTTTGATAAATGTGCTTAGATGTGTTTAGTACAGTATATGCTTTTCTTGTTTTGTCCGGTTCATTTTGTGTTAAAATGCTAAAAAAAAAAAAAACATCTTTTGGTGTAATTTTTTGGGGCCGGTGTTCTGAAATTTTTTCCTACCTAAAATATTTTCCTACCCG